TATATTTATATAACAGTATGTATATATGTATCGAAGTTGACATCGAAACGAATCTCTCAGTCTACTCTCGTACAATTTGCCATCCATATGCTGTCGGCTCCACACCCTCGTCAATTGCGCAGACTCTGGGCTAATCTCGCCTGATACTGGTTTTGCCTTTTTACGCACGCACATGTGCACATACACATATTCTTTCAAACGCGCACACACATGCCAACAATCATAAATGACCTGTTTGGAATGTAGCCCATCAGACGGCTTCTAAGATCACAACAACACGTATCTCCGCAAGAAACGGTCCTGTCACTAATACAGACATATGTACATACAATCGTGCACGGCGATACACAAGCACTTACACTTACACACACAAAACACTTATGAATCACTCACCCTGTCACCTCCAGCCAAGGCCTGTCTTGCTTTGACTATGGCCAATTGCGCCGCCTCTAAGTTTGCGACGTCAGGTATTTCCGCCTGATACGGTGCGTGTTGCTCTGTGGGGGCTGGTGTGTCTGGTACGCTCTCCTCTACTGTAACGTACACGTGAGGATGAGCCGATGCGAAGGGTGAACTCCCACAACACGTGTGTGTGGAGTAGGTGTAGACGATTGACGCAAAGGTAGAGAAAGAGCTTATTTGTAAGGTATGCACATAGATGAACGAATACAAACACACATGGATGCATACATGGGTACATGTATGGATCCATGCACACATATATATATAGACGCATATATACATACATATACATATACATATACATATATATAAATATACATATACATATACATATATACATATAAACACATTCACACACACACACACACACACACATATATATATATATATATTATAAATACATATTGATCATACAGGAAAAAACACACATACCATAGCCTTCTAAAATATACACATACATATACACAATCATATACATGCATTTATATATATATATATATAGATGAATATGGTGGGCGATAGGAACATACAATAAGTGACAGCTGACCAGTAATGGTACATTTAGAGATTTCGGTCCAGAATACATCAGCATCGCGTCACTGTTGTTTCAAAAAGAAAACCAAATAAAAGACACACACCTGAAAATCCAACACACCTCAACATGTACGTATTCACATATCTAAACATAGGAACAAAAAGAACAAAAAAAAATCCAACACATGCATGTGATTTTTGATCTACACAGAACAATACAAAGACGAAAACTTAAATCACGTTCAAATTCACAGATGAATATATAAGGCATGTACTGTATATATAAATTATAAATGGAACAAATGAATGCTAAACTAGGAAATCGAAGACATGCACTGTATAGTAAATCCACACATAGACAAATGAATGCAAAACTACTACATCTCAGACAGGCACCGTATATATAAATCCACACACAGTGCAAACCAATGCCTATCTCGCCCACGCAGACTCACCTTCCTCGCCTGCGGACGGCCCGTCTCTGACCACACTCGACCACGTGGCATCTGGCGCCGCATCCTTGGGTTCATCTCCCCTGTCCCCTGGACTCTTCCCACTCCTATCTGTTTCCACCTTAGGCTCATCTCCCCTGTCCACCGGTTTCTCCCAACTCTCACCCGTTTCCACAGGCGTGCTGCCTTCGGCTTCTTCCGGCTTCCCAGTACTGTCCGGTTGTGCACTGTCATCCGTCTGAACCTCATCGCCCAGGGACGGTCGTGGCCGTGGTATGGTTTCAGGATCAGATGTCCCATTAGCCTCTCCGTCCTTCTCACCGGTCCTACCGTCCGTATCAGGTTTGGCGCTCTCACTATGTCCTATTTTTTGTTTCGTAGGGCCTGATCCCGAGTCAGAGGGCAAGTCTGCCGATGCTGCGCTTGGCCGTCGGTGTGGCGGAGGTCGCGATGTTGGCCGGGAGGTAGGCCTCGAATTGGGTCTCGATCCAAAACTCCTGCTCTAAAAATCCGGAAATTTAAGTAAAGGACAGATTAGGATCAGGAACAGTAGAACTATGCATATCTACATATGACGCATGTACCTCACTTTCAAGTAGACATCAAGATCCAAAATACGGCTTGCATTTGTGCGCATCGGAAATACTAATATATCCTGTCCACGCGTGTACCTTCGGTCGATATGTTGAGAGAAGACTTGAGGACAAATAACTAAAACCATCATAGTCGCCAATTGTCCCGAGTCTGCGCATAGAAACTGACATGGCACTGACAGAATTTGGTAGTCTATTGTCCTACTGTAAAGATGATTTTTCCTTCTGTTTTCGTAGTATAGTACTACTTAGTACCAATACTATGTCCCGTTATGTGTAATGATGTGACGTTATAATATAACATTGATCACCAATACTAATACAATCATTTACAAATAAGTACATATACAACAATACACTGCAATATGTATATAGATATGCAATTCTATCGATCTATTCATATATATATACATCCATAAGTCTATAAAGCTACGAATCTATATACCTATATACCTATATATAAATAAATATCTATACATACATACA